GCTAAACAGCTGCTGGGTGATGCTGGCTTTGAGAAAGTTGAAATTCGTCCAAACCCTTTTTCAAAATTTCGATCAAACATTCTCTATTTATGCCGCAAATGACTATACTTTTTTTATTCATTCGAATAGTACTCGTCAATTAAAAGATAGCGGGCATATCACGATTCCTTGGATGTTCAGCTTAATCATCCTTCGTTTATGGAGTAACATTTCATCTACTTATAATTGTTTATAGTTTGGAAAAATTTCAATGATCGATAAAGCACAGAGATTATCTGCTGGACGTCATTATCTTACACTGCTTGCTAAAAGTGGTAAATTTCTTATGCGAAAGATTTCAAAAAGGGTGATGTGCCATTTGCTCTCACTTCTCCAAATCATACTCTTTCTTCCACATTTGTCCGGTTCCGTCATAACAGTCCTAATTACGAAGGGTCAGAAATTCTATGGTATTGTACAGGTCAATATTTTCTCTTCTCTCCTTACTTTAAAACACTTAGTTGTAGCCATCATCAAGTTAATCGAGCAGTGAGGACATATTAAATTCATAAAAGCGGCGGAATTGTTGTACAGAATTGTTGTAGCAAGAGGATGATGGTGTAAATCAGATTTATAGATTCAGTGTAGCATGGAAAATAGTGATAAATAAAGAATATATGCGTAAGTTTGATTAAAAAAAAAAATGAAAAGATGATGAAGTGCATCAAATTTTTACCTGAATATATTTTACCTAGAAACGTCTTTCAAACTATTGTTTGAGCGTTAAAGGACGGAACGCTCTATTAATTGTATGATACGTATATAATATTTATTTGTATTTATATATGTATACAAGTCATGTAGTCTCGTTATATTTGGAAATGAACTGTATGGTTCACTTAGGGCATATTTTTCAAGTGGCTATCAATCATTCCGACAATGGTCTGTTCATATCACTGAAATCAGGAAATAGATCTACCATATTTTATCATCATTTCAATAATAAATTTAGGCCAAGATTTTTATTTGGATATAAATTATTAAATTTTTTGCAGTGTCCATTCTTATCGGAATTCTTCATATTTTCGTTAACATTCATTGTGTAAATCTTGTGTGGGAAAAATAGCTTAGGTTTTAACATGGCTATCGATGGCTTCAAATTGCACTTCAATGGTGTCAAAATTATCGGAAATGAAAGTTCAAAAGATTTCAATAACGATATCTGATTAGATGTCGATAGCGATCAATTCACACGGGGTCGGCTGTCTGTTAAAATGTTAAAATAATAATGTCTGTGAAGTTTTGTCACTCTTAGATAAACATAAATAGTATATAACATGAAATTCAAAATATCAGGTATGAAATTCAAAATATCGGAATTTTTCGAATGTGGGATGTTCAGCCTGTTCAAATATAGCATTCCTTATTGATTGTCCAGACTACATTACACTACACTCCTTGTGGAGGAATATGCTATCAATTATTTGACCTATATCCATTTGTCAATTCAATTGTCGGAAGAAATAATATAATATAGATCAATCAAAAGGTTAAAATATATGTTAATATATTTTCACTGCAACCATGTGTCAAAGGATATCTCGTTACTACTGCATGTTGTAATATTGATAAGACAAAAAATGTCTCTGCAACAATTATTGGTTTGTAATTTCATATTGTTACTTTCAACTAATTTGCATAATTTTAATAATAAATTAAGATGTTATTGAGGAAAGTAAGTGTATCGGAAGACTTAGTATTTTCACACTTAAAAAAATAAATTTTTACTTTTAAATTGTTTGAAGGAATAGCGAGAGTAAAGAATTAAAAGAAAATGATATTAAGTGGGTGAAGTTTTGTTCACTAAATCATGCCATTTATCTACCAGTTCCACAAAATTAAGAAAATTACTTGCAGTACGATGATTTATTTTATAATCTTGAAAAAAAGCTTCAAATATTTTTCGGAACAATAATGCTTTCATTGATTTTATTATTATTAATCTATGTGAATTGTTATTAGTTTCAAAGAATGTTAGTGCGATTATTGCTCAGAGGAGGTGAAAGTATCACGTTTTTCAGCGTTATGGAACAGGAGACGAAGAAATTTCAACTTTTCACAAATCTCTTTGAATCTTTACATCTCATTCGATGCAGTAATTAAGTGTAGAGCTTAAGTTAAACAAAATAAAATAAAATGTGCTTGAGAAAGCTATAAAAGCTAATTTAACTTTAGCAATTAACAGAAAGATTTCCATTTCATGTATCTTAGTATCCTATCAATTACCATCGGATTGTTATGATGTAACTCTGATAAGGTGCTGATAAGATTTTAAAAAGACTCATGATATAGCTATCAAACTTTGAATTTACCTATTAAAAAAACAACTTTTATTGTACTCAAAAATATTTACTGCAACATAATGAACTGTGAAATGAACACGATAAATACATCATTCTCTGTCAAACAGTAATCGATTCATCATTAGCAGGAAGTTAAACTATTGTTTTGTCATTTAGGAAGGCAAAAAATTTTTGTTCTTCTATTACAAGATGCTTTCATGTTTTATTGATTCAATGATAATGAGTTATTACAGGTACTATGATACAATTATTTTAAATGCTGGTGTATTGCTGCCAAAAATATTCAAAACAATGAATAGATTTGATACCACATTCCAGGCACGGTATGCCTACTACTTTACAGTCTTCTCATTAATTTATAAATTATTTTTATTTTGATCAATTCATTTAAAAATTAATGATGTAACAAAATGCATACAAATTGTATAGTGCAATGAGAACGGGAAATTGAACTTGAGTTTGCCGTGTTTTCATTGTACTCACACCGGATTTATCGTCAAAAAAGGGTCTTGATTCCTATTCATTTTTCTTTCTATGGGAATAAATTCATTTTCAAACACCATAAATTTTGTTGGATTTCAAACTAAATGTGTTTTGCGAAAATATTTGATACTTACAATTGAACTAATTGTAGATAAAATTCTGAGTGTTTCTCCAAATGATCTAAATGAGTCAACTTATTCGCAGGGATCAAATGTGATGAAATATGCTGTATAATTTTGTTTTAGTTGATTCTAAATGAAATTCATGAATTGAGGTATAATAAACTTCAATTTATGTTTGAATTAAATTTATATATCCGAAGATATCTTCGAGGCGTGATCGCTTGCGAAAAATGTTTTCGTCGTCGAGTAGTACTTCTGAATGGCTCAGTTATATTATGTCGTACGAATTTCATATGCTCACTGCTATGTGTGACATCATATTTTTAAGTAAAAAAAAAATTGAAAAGTAACAGAGCTGGCTGAATCTCTCAGATGCTTGCAGGTCGAAATGAGTAACAGTAATGTTAGCTTCATTTACTGTTAATTTTAATTTGAATTGAAGAATTAAATTAGAGCTAAAAATTTTACTATTTCATAAAAAGAAAAAATTTTCGTAGTAATCGCAGATTCTGAACTCCATATTGATTTTAAAATAATTTAATTTCATTCTTAAATTTCTGCCCATATGCTTTTAGATTTCCAATTCAAAAGAAAATAGTTTTATAAATTAAAAGAAAAAAATTGTTTGAGGAAGATGGAGCTCGAAATATCGTTGACTGTGTTAAGAAAAATCATTTACAGAACGCGTTTTGAAATAGTGCTAAATGCAATATTGTTTCTAAAAGAATTTTAAGTGAACGAAATGAAATTGATTTGATGATTTTCAGCAAGGAAATGATTATCAATGCTATTCCAGATTTCCGCCCCCCCCCCCTCTACAATGTAAATTGAATACGTTTGTAAATTTGATTCATTTCAGCATCGCTTAAAATTGCAACATATATATATATATATATACTTGCAATAAAATGAATTCAAACCATTAAAGAATTTTTAAAAATTAAAAGCTTTCTGAATTTCGTTTTACTTTCTTATCAGGGTTATTTTGCCCCACATTAAATCATTACTAATAATATATGTCGAAAATTATTTCCAGATAAGGATAGGATTATGTTTGATTGGTCATTTTGCATTTACATGAATTTTGTCAAATTTTTAAAATCAATTTATAAATTTTTAAATTCTCGTTACTTACGACAGATGAAATTTCGGAATGAAAATAGTAATGGAAATTATTTCTGAGTAATTCCTAAGAAAAGCATATGAAATGAATTTAGTAAGCATAAAGTTATTTCTTGAGAATGTGTCATCATACTATTGCAAATTTATTAAAAGAGAAAAGCAAAATATTCCCAGAATTTGATAGTAACACGCATAAACGTTATATTGTCATTTAAGTTTGCTTATTTAGATATATATTTAAAAAAAAACTTTACGTTTTATCACAGTTTCAAGTGACAAATTAAATTTAATCAAAGGGAAAGAAATCCGAAAATGAACACTGCCAAAATACTTTAATAAAATAATCCAAAAAATTACATGTAAGATGGCAAGATACTAATTAATTATTGAGCATCAGATAACTGGTAATTTTATCACTATTGGCTCACTCCATCTTACAGTCAGATATATATTTTGAACAATTTTTTGTGGAAAGAATGTACACGGAAATAACAATATTAAAAAATTTTTTTCTTGTTAATTGTTATTAGCACTTCCAATATATTTGCAATCGTCGTTCATATTTTTAAGGTGCCAAAGGTTGTAAAAATACGACAACTGCTTCAAACCATTTGATATGCAAAATCTATTTGCTATGCCTTATGTGTCATACAATCTATAAATGATTTAATAGATGTGATACTAATATTATAATAGTATCGTTAATAGAACATATTGCACTGTGTAGAATCGACAGACATCATTTGACAGTATGCAACGATGATTTTCTTCAGTTATGACGAATAAATTCAATTAACAATAATAATAAATGAATGATGAGACGGCTTAGACATCGTTATTTTCATAACATCTCAGCGAGCACTCGCTCCGTTTCCTTCATTCGAGCAAACAACTTCCGCTAATTAATTTGGCCAGGAGATCTACTTGAAATATGGTGGTACGGTTGTCAGATTTTTGCACTTTTGGGAAGAAGATTGTTTGTGTTGGTAGGAATTATAAGGTAGGAATTATAAAATTTAATGGATATATGCATAATGCTCACTTTTGTAAATACAATGTAAATTAGAACAGTTTAATTAATGAATGGATTTTACAGGAGCATGCTCTCGAATTGGGAAACACAATACCAAAAATACCACTTTTTTTCGTCAAATCAACAAACAGTTATGTGTCACAAGGACAACCTATCATTCCACCGCTTGGTTGTAAGATATTACATCAAGAAGTGGAACTCGGTGTAATTTTCAGCACGACAGCAAAAAATATCCCATCCTCGCAAGCATTTAATTATATTGGTGGGTACACGGTAGCCTTGGACATGACAGCTCGAGACTTCCAGGTCACTTATTGTCATAATTTCTTGTATAGTATAGGACAAAACAGTGTCTGAAAGTGCTGTCTGAATGTCCTGGTTTGCTGAGCCACTGAAATGCCAATAGATGGGCTTGTGCAGGATATTCACTTTTAGTGGAGTGTAGTTTTGATATGCAACGTTTAATTTCCAGAATGAAGCGAAGAAGGCAGGGACACCTTGGTTCTTGGCAAAATCGTTCGACACTTCATGTCCAGTAGGTTCTTTCATTGAAGTCAGCAAAATTGTCGATCCACACGATGTCGAGCTATTTTGCCGTATAAATGATGAGGAAAAGCAGCGCTGTCGAACCGACGCCATGATTTTTGACATACCAACTTTAATCGAAGTTTTAACTAAATACGTCACCATGGAACCAGGTGATATGCTCCTCACGGGCACACCACCAGGCGTAACAGCTGTAAAATCTGGCGATTGTATTGAATTTGGTTTGGAAGGTATCGCGTCGTTTAAATTTTATGTCCAGTAAAAATTTAGTTTCCTGCCTTAAATTCTTGCCTCTTCCGGATAATTAGCGAAGAAAACGGCCGAATGACCATTAATTTAACGACAGGTCACTAATTAAATCTAATTTAAACAAGAATGTTCGTGCACGATAAATGCGAGCCGCATGCTATCATCGTCCGATACAAATACGTATAAAATAGTAAAACAGACCACGTATTTACAAAATACAGCATCGGACTTTGAAAAATGTCTTGATCTATCATTATCAATCTTAGTCAAGGGACCATGACGGAATAATTTCATCACTGAAAACATACTCTACATGTAGAATAATGATAGACGACAGTTTCCGAATACTGATAGAGGGTGGTAATTTCAGAAACACACTAAAACACACCAGAAATGCAAGCAACAGTCAACAAGAAGCTAATAATACTGATTGCTATCCGTATTCTGGAGTCAGAATTTCCATCTTAACATGATTTGTTATCTTTCTAAATAGTAAAAACAAATCTTTCTCGTACTAAAATAGGCATAAAAAGATAACGATCAATAAGCAAAAGCAGACAATATAAGGTGTGCTGTGAAATGTACACTAAAAGCTGTGTACTTTATGACTGCAAACCAGAGTGGAACACTACAGTAAAATACAATTCCACTGAACACAACTAAGCAAACTAATTTGATACAGACATATTATGATCGTCTGAAGAGGAAACAGATTAAGATGGATTCTGAGAGAGAACCGTGATAAAAGATGACTATTTAAACTGTCATCACTTGCTATTAATGACTGTGATAGCAATGTCGGATTTTGGGAGAATCTTTTGTCGTTATGAGAAAATGATTCCTACCCAATTTTTGATAAGTGCACTCACTGGAAATATCATGATAGGAGAAAATTATTAAAGAAAAATTGGATGCATGATAATTATCAATTACGCATAAAGACAAATTCTCGGATCAGAAACTGCAGAGCCAGCGCACATTAATCCACTTCAAATTTGAAAGCATGCTTTTCCTTAAGGTTTTAGTCATCGTCATGTTTATCCTCTTTGTCTTTTCAAATTTATGTTCTATACCAATGCTAATGATGAAATAAATTTTTTTGAAAGATAATTGAAGTAATAAAATGCAAGTTAACTGAACCCATATATATAAGCACGTCTGGAATAGTCTAACATACGCTAAGCTGTACTGAGGCTGCTGTTGAAAAAATTATTTATAAATACTGTCATTGCCATTAATAACAACTGAAAACATAAATCCACAAATATACGTCGTAAGAATCATCCTCTTCCTTAATCCTTCTTTCTATTACTATCACCAACAACATCGAACAACAGCTTAGTTTTGAATAAGTTCAAACCATAGATATCGTAACATTGATACCAAGATTGCCATTTTCGGCAAACAACTGGGCTGTCTGGCTATCGAACGCCATACAATCTGACAAAGATATTGCGTGTGCCACACCTTCATGTATGCTACGCGGAGATGCCTCCCAACTAAAACGACGCCGATGTGTTGCTAATTCAAGCCTGCAAGCAGAACAAAATAAAATTCCATAAATACTTTATGCCAAACACACCATGTCCAATGCAAAACCTACCGATACATGAAATTCTCGGACTCTTTTTTAGCGCCAATCAGTTGCACGACAGCATAGAACATCTGATTGCCATCCTGGAATTTCTCCTGTTTTTCTAGCACGAGCATAAAGTGATAACCGAAACAAGACTGCATCATTACCCAATCCACAGCACCAGGTAGATTTATGTCAGTAGCCAAAAAGACGATGTCTTCACCTGCAATTAGATTGATTGAAATGTTTATTTTTCACAGTTACTTTTAAATATGGTGCAAGAAAAGCAATGAGCGACTTTTAACTCATGACTATAAAGCCCCACAAAAAGTGCATCTGCGAGCAATTTACTTATTTATTTTCACTTTCCTTAACTGCTGAAATACTGGGATATTTATAACGCAGAATAAACCAAAATACAAAAACATGCTGTTGATGAACAACAATAATACCAAGATGTTTTCGTCTTCCATGAAACAAACGAAAATGAACAAACCTTGTAGAGTAGTAATAGATTTGTGAACTTTCATGAGATGTCCCATAACTTCAGAAAGGCTTCCTTGCCACTTGCACGATGCCCCAGGACACGGGCAACAATATGGGCTAGAAATATGTACAATAAAGAACATGAAAAACTTCTACCGAGACGTCGTTATCAAAAATAAGAGTATAATGAGTGCCTTGCAAGTAAATATAATACTTGCCTATTAGAAGAGACCCTTATAAAAATGAATTGGGATCAGAACAGAAGCAAAGAATGCTTACCGGAACTCACAAAGCTCCTCATGCTCCACCTTTTCAACGTGTGAAAATGTAAGAGGACAGCCTGAGCCAGCAAATTTGCAAGGAAACATAACGGTATTTGCAATCTTTTCTAGTACCAAATTTCTAACACTTGCTATAAACGATATTGAATAAAGTGCATAGAAGGTGAGTGCAATTATACTAGATGAAATTTGAAAAATGATCTCTTGCGTCCTCTTCTCTTCTCTTGGAGAGAAGAAAAATGCATAAAGCATAACAAAGTTTAATCTTTAATTTGAGTGCTGAAAAAACATACGAACTGGACCCCTGCAAGTAGGGCAGCATGTTAGTTTGGGACGGCAATTGCCACATACAAGGTGACCACTCTGACATTGCAGATAAGGTGGCATCATGTAATCCATGCAAACTGGGCATTCGAAAACGGATAACACCTGAAAATAACATTACCAACGATAATACTTCCTGGATAAAGCTGTCTTTCCCTCTTAATTAATAACCAAACAGAATGATATCAAACGTTGTCAAACCAAAAAAAAAAATAGAAAACCTCTGGATTAGCGTTATGTGTCACATTGTGCGGCGTAGCAACAGCAAATTGAGGTGCTACGCTCTGCGTAGTTACTGGGTTTGAAATAGAACCTGAAATGACATAAAGTTATCATGAGGATTTCAGAATCCAAAAATAAAACGAACGCACCGGATGGTGTGGAACCCTGAACACGTCCGACAGTTTTTTGTTGTGGCGTTGCAACACCCTGCGTTGGGTTATTCTGACCGTTCACCGCAGCTGGAATTGTACTACTACTTCCCTGTTTGAACTCGTTACTCATTTTGTTGACGATTGTTGCTGATTAGTTTATAAATGCAATGCTGAAACAAGAGAATGTTAACGAAATCACTTAATCATCCTGCCTTAAGGTATAAGCATGGTTTTCATTCACATAACGTGCCAATCACACACAAACACACGTATCCACCAACCCTCAATCAAAACCCAATGTCATTTATATTTTCCGTGAAAAATTTTTACCACTTAGGTTTTCCCTGACCGATCCTATCCACTTCCAACGTTGATGCTTGAATCAAGATAAAGACTATTACATTCTCCCTGGTGATAGATTTTAAATTTCATTACAGTAATACTCAAAACGTCAACTAACATATTACTCCATTTCTACACCCATAATCAATATACGCAGAACTATTTTGATGAATAGATTATTTAAACTAAAAAGAAATCATACCAATATTTCGGTGGGCTAAAACCACACAGTTTCTCGAAGTTAAACATTTCTATGCATTTCCAAATTGTTAGACATTTCCAAATTGTTAAACCACATATAAATGTAGAAATATATCAAGAACGGAATAATATCAAGAACAATATCACACGGTGCTATAGAATCAACAGACTATTACAAATTAACAAGTATCCAATTAAGGCAATGTTCTCTTTGCAGACAAACTAAACAATACATTATCGTCAGAAAGTTAATACAATGATATCATTGCACTAAAAAAATCCTAAATATATTTGAAAAAGTTTATTAAAACAGAACATGGCAATATCAACCGGTTATCACACTCTGGACTTCAAATAATAAATGAACGTAAATCTATCAGCATCGGGCAGTAATATGGCGTAAAAAACGAAGTTAAATTATACAAAACATGAACAAAAAGGCAAGCTGAAAACGCCGACTAATTTAAAAGTGATGCGAATCACTTTTGCATGATTTAACGAAACCATTACTAGAAGTAAGATATAGAAGTGAAGAAAAAACATAAGGAGCTTAATGCAATTTATAATTGAAAGATTCATTATTTGAATGGTTATAAGTGCAAGTAAGTAGCATAAATGCCTTCGCGACAAATTTATGGCACTTTAAAAATTATCTACATATATACTTCATATTTACGAGAATCTCTTCCGTATTTTTGTGTATAACTTATGTTTACATATACCACTCTTGTATTCCGCATAAAAGTGACATGCACTCCTCAGCAAATGTGCTAACTTTTATATTTGTATCTAATACTATCTAATGCTATCTACCTTATCATTTTTCAATAACGTATATGATTAAAGAGCTAAATGCTTACTCATTATTAATTAACATCAATTTCATGCATAAGATTTATTTCATATTCATAAGGACGACATATGCGGAATAAGGCACATAAGTTCCACACTGATTATGCGTAGTACTACCTATCTATCTAACTATTTGATTCTAAATGTCCTTTTTCGACTAGGAATATTAGCGGAATAATTCCTTCAAAAATATCTATCAGCCAGAAATAAATAAATAACTATAGCGTTGAAGAATAACGACAGCAAATTAATATTTCTTTGACAATATCCTTAGAACATTAGTGAAGGTATTGGTAAGTTTGATAGTCGGATTTACTTCCAATTTCGAAAAATTACTCTCCGTGTTGTCTCTACACGAGTTTTTGAAACAATAGCACCCTTCGTTCATCTTGTGTGCAACCACAATCAATTCCCCGACGTCGGTTTCATGATAATTCTGAAAAGTGAACTCATTCAAAAGTCTCAAGTATTTAATGTGAAAAAATTCCATTTCATTAAAGCAATAGCTCTTGCTATAAATATATATATGTTGCTAGGCCATAACAAAAATTTTCCAAAGTGGGGAAAAAAAACACTATCAACGGAAATGTAAAAGGACACTCAGCAACACATCACTTCCTATTTAAATGGTAGTTAACACCGTTAATGGCTTCAAGTTGGAAGCAAATTTAAAAAAATAACTGAGGTGATCGCATTTTTTAATATCATTATGACTATTAAATTAGATTACCTGTAGCATTTCTAGACATGCTGTAAAATCTCCTTCAAGCAATTGGACACGGACTTTTTCCATCATCGCTAAGCATATCCAGTGGAGAAATCGCAAACGGTCAGGTGAGGAAAACAACGAATCCCATATATTAATAACATCTGCAGATCAAATATTTCGGAGTCACTTTCTGGACAGAAGAATGAATTATATGTTAAAGAAAGAAATATTTACCTGGTAGGGAGAATTCCTGTGATAAAAGTAAAGAAAGCCAGCGGAATGCATAGAATTGCGGCTTGATGCCCACATCGACCAAATGATTATACAAATCAAGATCGCAATTCCTCAATCTTTCATTAAATTCTGCCAGAAGTGACTCTGTAGTGCGGATAAGCTAATGCTGGGATTCAATTCATCAAAATAAAAAATGATGGGAGAATTTAAGAAATAGGGCATCCATACTGCCAAAAATCAAACAAATACCAGTTAGCTGAGATCAAATGACCCAAATCCTGGCCAGCGAGTAGGGTAAACAATATAAACTAAGAAATGAAAGTTTTTTTTTCCATAGTAAACCAGTGCTGTGTCCAACGCGAAGTCGTGCCAGCATTCTGCTAAACAAAACCACATTGATTAAATAAAAGGTTACCAATGCCACAGTTGGAATTGTCCAAAGTTTTAATGAAATTGTCCTTGATTTCGCTCATCAGCAACTGAAAACAATAATATGTATCCGCTTCAGCCGCCTCTGCCCATTCGCCATCAGCATCATTTGCAAATACATAATACAACGGGCCCATAATTTCATTCATCCCCTTAAAAATTACAGTAACCTTAAATTTGTTAATAAAAAAAATGAACAGAAATCTCTGCGAAGCAAAAGTATATTTTAACTGTATATAACAAAATAATTTGAAATACCTGCACATATTTAACTCCTGGATTAAGTTTACTATACATGAATAATACTCTTTCAACCACCTGCCAATGGTATTCAACATTTTCGTCAACGACATTAGAATATTCTTTGCTGGCTGTTTTAGTTGGTGAAGCAATAAACTGAAAGAAAAGAGACTGAAAAAGATCCATAAGACGATGAAAATGTAATTGCGGAATACAACAAACTGCTGATATATTAAAAAAAAAAAAAAACTGACACTCCCTGCACTGAAATGACTACTTGGTGGAACTTCTGAATAAAGGTTCTCTTGCTGAATACGATTTGACAAATTGATTTTTGCTGCTGATCTAAAAATAAAAGCAAGTTACAGCTAATGACGGTAGAAGCCATCTGCAATAGATTAAGCCCAATCTTTTGATTGATATCTTGGTGATGAAACCACGATTTTGACTTGAGATTGGTGTATCGCTGTGTCTAGCACGCAACTATGTCATCAATTGGTGATACGTAACGGAACAGTTATGACAATGTTATGATAATAAAAGAAATTAGAAAGGGAGATACTCGGTATTTAATTCAATTTAAATACCGAATATATTCCTTTCCAACTTTCAGGTAAATTTCATATGCCTATGAAAAGAGTGTGGCAATGAAACTGTTAGTAAAAAATTAGACAGTGCTAGAAACTTCATCTATTTAAATGAATCTTCAACTGCTTTTTTGAAAAATATACCTATGCGGATAAGAAGTAATTCGTTGGAAAAAATCGATTTCTGGGCAAAGCCGTCGAACATCTTTGTCTATTTGAGCCAACACTTCATTGTCTTTGAAATAATTATTCCACTGACTCCCTGGATTGAGATTTAATGGCTAAAAACAATGCAAATGAAATACACCATCTCCAAACTTCCGCTTAGTGAGCCAATTAATTATAGATATTTTATTTAAATAAGCTATGATTCTAAGTCCTGCTATATGATTGTAACGTGATCTTTTCTTCTCCTTATTTAATTTTGTGGAAAAATATGAACTCTTTATACCAAACTTCAATAAACTGATTAAAACGTACATGATCTTCGGCAGTCTCGTGATCTGGTGCTATAGGTAACTGGCCAGGATGAACAATTACATCTTCAACAAGACTGTTATAAATTTCGCGGTGCTTTCGAAGGTACACAGGCCACTGCTGTCGCTCCATAGGTAGATAACCAAGGAGTAGACGCCAACACAAAGGTCGCAGTGAGTCAGGAACACCTAAGAATGAAATAGATTGTATATAGCATCAATCCAAAACGAAAAAGTGTAGTTTACTTAACTACAGAGAAACTCTAATCCTAAATTGAGAGCAAGAAGTTGAATGATAACGATGATACAAAATTTGTGTAGCTAAAATCTGTTTAACGAAACTTAGAAACGGATATTCCTTTCGAACATGTATAACGAAGCTTAGAAACGGGTATTTCTTTCTAACAGTTAATAACTTAGTGATGATCTCAAATAATGGCATCTACTGCATGCAAATATGAAGGGAAAATTACCAAAACTGCAGCAGAGTCTCAAGTCACCCAAATCTATCTCAGCGTTTTCTAACAATAAGACTTTTTCTAACTGCAACAGCCTGAAATAAATATCATTTTCGATATTTCTATCAGATTTGCAAAGTAAAATCCTCCATATATAAATCCATATAATTTCACACTGACCTCAGGCCCAAGTGCAAAATCAGGATGAGTTGTATTTGTACCTGATGGATGGTTACCTCACGGAAATCTGTAGTTTAGAACAGTTTAATGAAAGATAAGCTATGTAAGCCAAACTGTCACTCGTAAATAATGTGAAGCTTAGCATAACTGGAAATTGGCTTGGTATCTTATTTCAAATGTATCTGGTTCAAGATGTTTCCGAAGAATCCCGGAAATCTACCAGACATACCCAAGAAGTTAATTGATTAAAATCAAATTTGCATACCGCTCCTTATATTTTTCACCCATTGCTTCAGAATTTTGTCGACAACGGTAGTCTTACAAACATTCCTGCAACATTGTTCTGTTCTGGACATGATTCCAGCCAGGACAGAGCACAAATATTCGCCTTTATTGGATGATGCAACATTTTTTCCCCGAGGTGCAATGTAGATTTTGCTTTGTATCCTCTTCCAGTGGTAAATAGCAAGATCTCTTTGATCTGGTTATTTCCTATCATTACACCTTTTGAATTCTTATATATTTCAAAATTTCTAAACCTTGGAGAATACCCACTCTCGCATGCAATGTTGCTGTAACCCACACCTCCGGATCATAAACACACATCACCACAAAATGATTGTGAATAAATCGTCTACTCAAACCGCTAGCCACCGCAAAATACCGAACGGTTTGCCTCGTGCCCATGAAAAGACAAAGTTATGTGCTGGATGACGCATACGTACGCCATTTTCGATAAACTACACTACTAACCCGTTAATCCGTCAGTTTTGATTCTGTATGTACTTCACCGGCTACATACGACTTGACTGAAACTTCTTAGTTTGTTAAATGAATAATCTGGAAGGCAATGTGTTTTAAGTAACCGGGCCTAAGATCAGTATGTGTTTGACATTTGCTGAATCTTAGTAATACAAAGATGTGGCTGCAGTCTAAGATATCTCTACGGCTTTACTAATTTGTTCAAAAAAATAATGTATGTGTGAGAAATTATTACAGCAAGTGAAAAAGTTAGCATTAACTGTGATGGACGCTTGATTTTCAGACCGGAGGGCAACGACAAAAAATGTGATGTCCATAATATTAGATAATATGCAGAAAATGTACACCAGACTGAGAGATACTCGTAACTACGAGGCAAATTAACATTCATGGAAATCTGATGCAAGTTCCTTGGAATGAACTAAAATGCATTTTCATACTTTTTCTCCCTGCCAACAACGCCAACATCAATTGACACTTGGAATTGCTAACTTCAAATTGAGATCAGGAATGTCGCTGCGATGCCGTCTAGGTGGTACAGAGTCATGTGTCTCATTGTTCGGGATTTAATGTGTTCCTGGAGTAGGTTAATTCATGGGATGTTGTCAAATGAGTTGTGCGGTCTTTTACTGGTTATTTGAAGTCTTATGTTAAGTAGCATTGATTTCAGGATACTAATTTTGCTCTTTAACAATGTCCGGACGTGGAAAAGGTGGTAAAGGTCTTGGTAAAGGTGGCGCTAAGCGTCATCGGAAAGTCCTACGTGATAACATCCAAGGTATAACGAAGCCGGCTATTCGTCGTTTGGCGCGTCGTGGTGGCGTAAAGCGAATTTCAGGTCTTATTTATGAAGAGACGCGTAGTGTATTAAAGGTAACATTTTCAAGCATCCGGTCATCGTTATGTATTTTCAAGAAAAAAAATCATTTATCTTTGATCGTCAAAGCTCTTCATTAGTGAAAATATCATAGGTTTTCTTGGAAAACGTCATACGTGATGCTGTGACGTATTGTGAGCATGCCAAGCGAAAAACGGTTACGGCAATGGATGTTGTTTATGCTTTGAAACGTCAAGGACGTACTCTCTACGGTTTTGGCGGTTAATTTTCTTGATATTGATATTGATATTGCTATCGATTTATATGTTCAAACTTGTGACTATTGTTTACTGATGGTTTCAAAATATTGATATTATTTACTCATGCATATGATTTCATATTAATTTGTACCACAGTGCTTGTTGCTAACTTTAATGGCTTGATGAGATGGTAAAAGCTGTGGGCACACATGGAAAACGAGAGGGTGGGGGCTGATGAAAAGGGCTGAGCTGCGTTTTACCTAAAAAATTGAACAACTTGAATTGCTGAATAGAATGTATAAGTTCAGTGTAATGCTGTGGCTAAGATCATTTCTTTTAAAAATACTACTGTTCTTCCATATCCCTAACCAATGATTAATATTCAATAAATTTATCGAATTTATGAGGCATATGCATTGCATAATCTGTTTTGTTGGCAACATATTCTTTTGGCAGTTTTTGTATTTCCAGATTTATCAACATTTCTGATTCGTTCCTTTTTCTCTTTTCATGGATGTTTTCTTTGAACTATGTAATTACATTGGGAACGTCAGCAATTTTTTTTCAATTTTTTATTCACCGTCCTCAGTATAAACTTATTTTGGTATATTCCAGTTTTCTTATAACCATAACAGTTGATTCAAGCTTCATTTCTTTCTTGTGTTCTTCCTTGACATGGAATTTGTTATCCACTACAAGCAGAATTACAAGGTTTATTTGACAGTCATGTTGTGCATACATAGGCAATCTTCAATATCGAAGTGAAAGCAGATGAGTGCAGAAGAAAAAGATTTATTTAATAGGGAAACTTGGAAGGGAACTGGTATTGACATATTTCGTGAACGAATTCTGCTATGTGCAACACACTTATATCTGCACTCACGAGCAGATATTTATCTGATTAGAGCACACATTGACTTCAAAGGATAGTACAAAAATAGTTTATTTATTATCTTGGTTTAAAACAAATATTTTCAGTAATCCTTAACCCGTTAGTTCGCATTTTATCCCTCTTGTAATGGTTTTATTAAAATTATGCAAAGTAAAAGTGATTAGTGGATTTTTGGCCTGCGAATTATATTTTCAAATTATCGAGATAGTAGTCATAACGTAGGTGTTTCCTATGCAACCAAAACAGCGTGAATGTTTTGGCTTTTCTTGCTATTAATGGGTATCTATTTTTTAATCCTTATACGTAGGGATGGGACAATTTTTCTGTCAACTGCAGTGTTCTTTTTCTGGGATAAAATTTAGATGAAAAAGAATTTTTTGGTCGTTGATTACTAGTTAACAGTTCTAGAAACCGTGACATAAAGCTATGCTAAATGTTTAATCCGTTATGTATTGCCTTTCTGCCAACTGATATTTGTTGCTCATCTCTTCTGTAGACTATTTGGAAAGAACAATCACATAAATTTTAAGATTGCATCGCTTGAAAAAATGTGACGCCGCTATATAACCATTACAAAGGGCTAAAAGTCTTGTTGACCTCAGATACCCATATTTCGTATCTAAGATGAGATACATTTAGACCTGGTAAATTACTTTATTCTAGAAGATCTGCTTTTGATTGATAACCTTATGACTCATAGTTATGTGGATGCTAGCAAGGATTCTGTTCCCTTACAAATTCAAACTTCTTTTTCATAAATATATTTATTTATTTATCACAAGAAGTTATTTTCGTCAGTCTTTTTTCTGATATTACTGCTCATATTTTCCAATGTTATGTGTCTCTAGCTGAATTTCGTATCTTACTCTTCGTGTTCTCACGACAAACCAACTCCATCCTGACGAATAATGTCTTATAATTACTAGACGTTTTCTTTTTCAACCGATAAGCCTTTGACGAAACACTTTTGGTGTTGATATCATAATATGCAAGAAATGTTTCGTTAATTCAGTACATATTTTGATGTTGCATATTAACTTCACTTTGCAATCAACCACTGGCTCAGTTTAATCAATTGAACTAGGTTTTTATAATTAAAGTAATTTGAAAACAACAGTGGTTGATGTAAATTCTGAATCAACCACTGTTGTTCTCCAAATTAACAGTTGATTTAAATATTGTGGCTAATTTATCATTTCAATTTTTTTATGAACCTTTCAAGTCATTCTAATCTTACCTCTGGATCGATGCACATTCGTTGCAATAATTTAGCTGATTTCAGACAAACCAGTAGAAGTTGTGGCAAAAGTTGTAGATGACCTGAAATGATTCTACAATTATCAAAATATGAACTCCAAATTGTTTGTCACATATGGTAACAGTATTAGTTTTCGATCCATTCCAGTTTTCGCTTTTTGAATTTTGGGCACTATTTCATTGGACGTTTTTAAGAAACTACTGAAGGCATTTATTCTAGCTTTCTCAAACTACACCTATCAATTCGTTGATTGTCACCGTAAGCGTTCTATAAAAAACCGATGTTAAGAAGTATTTCATTACTTCGTGTATCATCGACAGGATCATCTGATCATTTTGCTGATCAACTGATCATTCTTATTATCTGAGACCAATCTCCGTTTGGTCAAGCTATCAGTCGTTCAGATTGCTTAACATGATCCGGCAATTTTTTTTTTTAGTTTTACTGAATAAGATTTACTGGACAGCAAAAGAAAATAAAACCATGATATGTTTGAATTATTTTTGTATCATAAGTTCGATATTTTAAACACATTTTTGCTAGTTTTTGTGCAGATCCAGAATTTCTTTTAAAATAAATTCATTCCATTTCCTGTTGTCATATTCATTTTGTTGTATTTTATTGAAACATGCACATATTTTGTAATTACCCTCATTAAAAATTAACAGCATCAGTTTTATAAAATTTGATAAAGATTTGAAACAGTACATTTATTTTAAGGAAACAGTGAGATTTGTTAATCCAGCGATTTCTAATAATCAATATGTGAAAATGCCACACTTAAAGCTCATCGTTTATTTTTTAATTTAAATGCATTTTTTCAATAAAATTATCAAGTGAACACATAAAATAGTAAATTGCATTATTATACACTATTCTGATAACAAAATTTTTATAGAGATAAAAAACAATGGCTTCTTGCAACTGAATTTTATTCATAAAGAGTGTTTCAGAATCAAACAAATGTGCGATCCAGGAGATGACTTAAAACAGTCAACGAAATGTTTCCAAACTAGCAGTTATTAAATTTTTTAATAAATATTACGCCTCAGATTGCCTTCGATCTTCTTAGCATGAAGTGAATGATTTTTCTGAAGTAAATATTCCATTCTATCATGCAATTTTCTCATTGAAAATGGTAGGAATTAGATTGGAAATTGCTTTTTCATATTGGTTTTGAAATATACGGGCTTTTATTCTGCGAATTTTATGTTTTGCTTAATTGCATTCGAATTCATATTCTTCTTAAATGGAAATGTGCAACCAATATCGAATTGTATTTCTTCAAAGAGACACTTTCCGGATCGCCACAAGAACCAATCATTTTTACGTTGTGCAACATTATAAGTAAAAAATGCCAAACATTTGTTATTGTTTGAGGGCCGCTTCAACATCACATAAGCTGATTCAGCTTCTGGACATTGAAGTGGGCAATATGTCAGAATTTGATTCCGTGTTGCATCTTTCTCCTAGAATGAAAGAATTTGGACATTATCAACAATCATTCGAATTCATGTATGAAAATATCAAACAGAGTGATAGACCCGTAGTGGTCACTTAGTAGAGGTAATACACTTGCAATTGTATTCAATGCTCGTGCTATCGTGATGGACAGTACTGCTAGGTCATTATAAGGAATCAAACAAAAAAGCTATTGAAAATTGTGATACTCACTGTAAAACAGCCGCTATCATTGATTGTTGTCCTCTCAATGTCATTCTTGAACATCAACATGCAATCAGATGGCTCTTTGTCATTTTTTATTACGCAAGTGTACCGTCGAAACTCTGTAATTTCACATTATTTCACTTCGTACAAAGACGATCTTTTTAAAACGAAACTACATGTTCTCATTACTGATACTAGACTTCAAGTTTAAAATTTTAAGATTTGAAGCTTATTGATCTATTATTTCGACAAGTTGAGAAAAACTCAAGAAAGGAAGCATACGATTATGTTGGAACTGAGCTCTTCCATCAATAAAAAATACAAGCAATATCCAAAAATTATGCATTGAAATGATCTGCAACAAAAGAAAGTTTATAACGTTATCCATTCTAACTGTGAAAATCGTGTAATGAATGATATTATGATTTGAGCAATTTACTCGTCTCTTCGGGATATGCAATATAGGCGATTGAGATGGTCTTTTGAATTCACCGAAACGATTTCGAATATTCGAAGAAGTCACTACTGAAAAAATGGAGTTTCTACAGATTTATTATTTGATTTTCGGATTACCTATAAAAGAAAAATGAATGATTTACAAAAAGCAAAACGATAATTCGTGTGGTAGATTGAAATTTAAGTTACTTCGTAGGATAAATAATGGAAACAACCTAAAATAAATACTATTGGATTAAATTGAGCAAAGAGTTAATGAAATAAAGGATTGATGGTGATGTATTTCAGTTTGACCCAGAAGGATGACCTAATAGTGCCATTACCACTGTCACACCCGTTTGTTTGTCATTTTCTTGCCCTTCATCCAATTGTCCTATGTATCTTTATATTGTATTATCAATGAATGACCATTTGAACTCCATGAGAAATGCAACGGATTCTATGAACTTCGATAAATGAAAGCAATTGTAATATTATCTTTACTTTCATATGTTTTCTATAAATTTATTTTATAAATATTTACTACAAAAAAAGTAAATTTGTGTAAAAGAGAAAGAAAAAAAATGAAAGTAACTGCAAGGCCGTAAATTTCATTTCCAGGAATTTCGATCCAAATGATAATTTATCGCGTCGCAAAAATGTCACGATGATTGAATTATGCTGAATCATGATATTTTATTTTTTTTACCTAACCATTTCAGGCTGGAATTGCATTACTTTCGGATAATCCGCTAATGAAATATCGTTTTTGAAGTAATTCTGTTAATCATACAATACAAATTTTCTGCAAAAAATTATCATTTTCTTCAGTTCATAAAATTTCTTTCATGCAAAAATTGCAGGTTTAGAGGATGGCTTTAGATAATACTTAAAAACTCCTTTTGCTGTTTAATTCTTAATTTGATTCGATTAAGGAATGTTTCCATGTAAGACACTAATGAAATCAAAAATAATATAAAATATGCTTCTATAGATTGGTTTATAAGTTCTCTTATGTGGCATCAAGTCTGGGATACGGATTGCTTGTACTTTAATTTAGTTTTATTCCATATAGTTTAAAGCCTTTCAGATCTAAATAACACCTGATTCGTTAAACATTACATCAAAGCAATATTATTTAAAAATCTGTCAACATGAGTTGAAAAAAAATGAATAGTTCGCAATTGCATGATCAAAATTAGCAAGCTAACAAATTAACGCTGTTTAGTTATATGCAACAATTTTGTCTTTCCAAATCAAACTTTACATACAAAAACAATTTCAGGAACAAAACAAATGATGTTTACATTTCAGTGAAACTGAAATTCATTTCACTTTTCACACTGAAACAAATGAAATGAATTATAGTTTTGTTGAAATCTCCAGTCATTTAAATTGAGAAGTTCCTGTCATCGGTGACATCCTTTCATACTGTTGTGCATTTCATTAACAACAAGAGAAAGGATACGGGAGAAAACATAACGGAAAGCAAACTGAAATAATAAAATTGTTTATCAGTAGCTGTTTTGTAAGAGAGCTAATCATTAGGTGAAAGCAATTTATGAAAAGAGATGAAATCATTATGAGGAAATTTATTTGAACAAATGCTACAAAATCTTCGGACTTACTTTATAAGATAACTATTATTTTATTTATATTTCTATTTCATTTATATTTCTATTAATGATTCAGCCATTAGAGCCAATTAATATTCCTGATAATTTTATTGAAAAACAAAGAAAGGAAAGAACGCTTAATAGGTCAAAAGAACTTACAGATCGGACATCGACAACAACAACAACAACAACAACCTGTAAAAATACATTGCACTTATATAATTAATCCAAAGAATGATGCTAACTGAATAGACCTAACACCAAAGAGGTAACACTTCCAGTCTTCCATTCTCACTATACAGTAATTGACTTTAATTTTGTACATGTTACTTCTTGGGATGATCAAACATTAGTGTGATAGATATGATTAACTTACAAGGAAGTAATAAACAGCAAGGTAAACATCCTGCAGCAAATCCATTACTACAACTCTGACATCCACTACCATTGCTACTACCGCAATATTTTCTATCTGATTCTAAACCAAACGTTGATGCATGAGCGTTTAATGGTTGTATGTTCTGAACTGGCGCTTTTGGTAAGCCACTGAAAATTGGATTCTGCGGAATGTATAACTGATAAGGTATGGCATTGATAGACTGAACTATGTGCATTGAATTCGGTACTTGTTGCGGTAATGGTTGCGGAGCGAATTGCGGTTCATCAATTTTTGCTGATCCTATAAAAAAAGATTTTTATTGACCTCTGAAATTGTCGCTATTAAGGAAAGTTATGTGTTACTTGAATCTTTAATAAATCAAAATTCAGGACAACATACGTTGAACAGTGATCTACACTTTTACATTCTTTTTTTACATTTATAATAACGGAATAGATATTCTTGAAATTACAATAAAGCCAATAGAATCATGGCTATATGGTATTACTGCATTATGGCTACCGAAGACAGCTATCCAATGAGAACAGACAATAACAAATACTGCTGTGATTATCCCTCCTATATGTGATCTTATTAAATTAAAGAAAATCCGATTTTTCAGTTCCATATCTAAGAAAGTAACAACAGATAACCACAAAATTAAATGACTAAATTTGAATTTGCAGTACAAAACAAACCAAAAATGCCATATCCAGGAGAAATGCTCACGTAACGGTTTTGCATTGTCGGGATAGGAAGAAAGGTTGTTGAAGCAACATCATTGGAGAATTTGTTGATGAATTTTTCTGCGTTTTTTGCTACAAGATTACGCGAATTATTTCTTTTAGTAAAGTTGCGTAGGAATATTTTCTGAAAAAGTGAAAGAGGTAGTGGATCGATCTAAGCTGTTATTGTTGGACGAATTTTCTTCCGCAGTGTTATCAATAATTATTGATGTAATAATGCTTTATTGCAAAGGGTGAAATATTTAGAAAGGGATTTAAAAAATAGAACACTTCAATATTTCAAACATATCACTTTTCATATAATGAATAATTTCATATAATTTCAGGAAGCACAAACGGTACAAACAGAGCCGTTGGATTTATCAGTGC